TTCATTATCATTCTTCACCTTGGTTAGAAGTATATCTCTCAACTAAGAACGCTTATATCTTCTGAGATATCTTAATGATAATTAAGTTTTGTTCACTATTTGTAATTTCAATTATACAACAGTCGATAATACTTCATGAATGAATGAATGAATGATCTTATACCAGGAATTACTGTCTGATCATTCATGTCATTCCTACTAGAAAATTAATTATACTTTATATTTTATATTATTTGTATGAAATGTATCAATGAAGAAGATAATGTAATGCAATAACTGAAATAAATAAAAAAAAAATTCATCCCAGTTATTTTCCAAATTCATAAAACAATCGAATATACCTACCCCAAAGATTGAACACATTAACATGACGACTGAGCATAACACTCAATAGACTTATGGTGGAAATATAACATGGTACGCTACTCACGAGAGCAGAATTTTTCTTTTCTGCGCATACCGTCAATGCGAGTTTATAAGCAGAACTTACCAAACAGACCAATGATCATCGACTCTTGTCGGTTCTATTGGCCTATTGAGAAATGAAAACCAGCGACGTATCCACGCTGTATATTAGTCATAGATAAAATACTTGATTTGGAATTGATCTGTTAGAAGGGTGATGTAACTAATTAGTCATTAGGACGGTGAATCAAACATCGAGCTATGCACTACTCAGTCTCAAATTAGATTTCATTGAGCACGGTCGATTCGAGTAGTTCAAAAAATGAGTATTATTTACAAGTGATGAATAATTATTTCTCGTTCATTTTAGTGATTATATCTCAATTGTGTGTGAGAGTGTATGTGTGTGTGTTGTTTGGTGCTTTTCAAGTTGGTAAGTGGTTATTTTTTATTTGAATATGGAGGTTTTGCTTCTGTGTATTCAGTAACAATGTCGTCCAGAATTGTCTTCACATATTGTTGGGGCTGATAATATATCAGATTTTCTGCAACACCTTCTGAAAGTACTGAAATATCAAATTCCTATTAGATAAATGTTCTCTAGACACCTGTTTACATGCTATCAGCACAGCATATGCTATCAGTCAAACTCTCTCTTTCACTTGAGGAGTATTTTCACAGGGCAGGTTTTCGTATTTTGCAATATATTTTTTTTAAATAATCCTGAAAATTCATGAAGAAAAATTATTGTTCCATGACTGTAAATCAAACAGGGGTGTATCTTCCTCGAGATTCATTTCCAGAAATTAGTAATTCTTACACCTTTTCTTAACTGATACTATACTATGAGATTGAATAGATACTAATATAATAAATTGCAGAAATATGCGCCATCTCTTAGAGTTATAGGTTTAGAAAGCTTTCGAAATTCAACTTTCCGCTTTCTAAATATTTATAGTTTTAAAAAGCTTACAAAATTTAATTATTCGCTCTCTATTCTTGAATAAGTAGGTATCATAAAAGTTTCAATATCTCGAAAGCCGCGTGGTTAAGTTGTGGTTTTTTGATGTTATGAACTTATACGGATGGAACATATCCTTTCCGCATAAAAAAGGAGACTACTTTTTCTAAACAATGTAACCTTCTTCCTAGTAGAGTTCCTCCTAGAAAGTACATATTTCGGAAAATTTCTTGAGAACAAAATAAAAAAATTCACCCTCGCATAGAGGGAACCCGGTCCGCAAGATTGACAATGTGCCAATCGCTTAATCAAAAATGAAAGTATGAGGAGAGAATATCATGTGTTGTGAGTGATGATCGAGAATTCAGTGGCACATATGAAAATGGTGTAGCCTAGAGTGCCTGTTAGACAGCTGAACATAAACATGAGACAAATATGTTTTATAAGAGATGGAATGTCATTTTTCTGTACCTCTTCGTTGACCGAATGCAGGCATATTATTATTTGAAACCCTAACATTGGCGTAACACCAAAGGCACATTATACTTGTCTAGTTGTTCACTCAAGGAACACTTAAAATGTCGTCTCGTCGTTGGGCAACTCAAATAAATGTTAACCATCATTCTTAGAGTTTTTGCAGTTCGTTACGGAACAGGATTCATTCAGAAACATTTCGCGGAGACGCCTGTTTTAATCTGAGAATGATGACAATTCGGTCTTGTAAGTGGTGACAAGCGTGTCCACACTCTTTAATGGGCGTGAAATGAGATGTTTGAGGCAATCTAGTGTAGCCGTAACACGCACGCGTATAAGAATAGAAGAATACATTGATTCTCAAATGTTAAGTAACATCAGGGCCAGCGAGAATAGAAATAGTATATTGTTAAACGAGCACGGAATGATAGTGATTTCCTACGGGAATGAAGTTTGCAGCATGAGCCATAGCATTCCGTACAAGTTATACACTATAATTTTTGTAAGGCTATAATAGATAACAGTGGCATTTTCGATTTCTTCGTCTTGTAGCCATCTGATTTCCTGTCAAATAATGCTCATCTATTGGACAGAGCTGTCATTGCTTGAAATTTGACATTCCATGGGCGATGAGTTTTTTTTTTCAATAATAACACAATGTTGTCATTGTGGTATCAGATACGGAAATAAAATTGATGGCATACAAAGTACCTCATTGATGTATCGAACACAGTAAAACAAGAGCAATCTTGTGTTATAGCCGTAAAAAAATATATTGCTATACAAAGGAGATTGAATACAGTGGGGGCCAAAAGTCCGTTGTCCCCTACCGTAACTTGTTTATTCTACCTATTACAAAACCAATCTCAGAAGCTTTCAAAAAGGATGGGTAAGTGATAAACATTGTTTTCCATTCATCACGGTTTCATCACTGAACTGGTGCAATAATAGTCTAAATAATAATTTATAAGTGTTCATAATGAGGGCTGACATTATTGATGTCCACCAAAACGGTACTGAAACGTGAGGTCAGAGTTGGTAGAACTGAAAAATATACTTCTTGTTTTAGTGTCATTCAGCCTCTTAGTACGATATATTTATATATTCTTCTCCATTAATGTGAGAATTGGCCCTAAAGTTCCACATTGAGAGTAAAAATTGCAAGTCAAGTATTTCGATAACTTGAGGTTTTGAATTTGTTCAAGTATTCTTCATAATTTTTTTCGAAAATTCTCCATAAAACAGACCAAAGCCTATTCGACAAAATTTTGGGATTTTTAACTTTGATATTGACCTATCATTTTAGTAGCGCCAACTGGTTAGAGTGAAAATGTTAGCCCTCATTCCAAAACTTTTGGCTTTCGCGATACAAAACTTGCTCAAAATTTGACGTAGAATCTAATAATACAATGATATACAAGAAATAAACTTCTAAGTCGCTGCGCTTTTTATGAGACACTCTGTATAAATGAAACTATTATTGGCCTTATATATGGCCTTGGAATAATGAATCTACTGAGGGGTCTTATCAGTAACTTATCATTGGAATACGATATCGTTACATTAACGATACATTGGCCAACAACATTATGAACGATGAATCCTAGATGCTGATTCAGAATGTTGGTATTCTGTGACTAAAAATGCGTGAAACGTTTGTCTCTTCTTAAAAGTTTTAGGTTCTTTCAGTTCACAGTTTCATAAAACAAGAAAATAATATTCCCCCGCTTTTTATTCAACCTATACATTTAGCAAAGTAGCACATCTCATCTGGTAACTATTAACTTGAATGGGTTGTTACTTGTAGTAGATCACATGTAGGTATCCCTTGCAGACTTTGTTGTTGCCTAAATTCAAAGATCTATTATTATGATATTATCCCAGAATGTTATTTCAAAAATTAATTCACATGTAGGTATGTAAGTATACTAGAAATAATGTAGAGTTTACCTATGTACCATCTTTTCTTCAACTATATCTACTAGTGCTCGCCCTGGCTATTTGTTATTATCTTGATAATCAGCAAAACAATATCTTCCCATATCCACCATTCATATCATACATACATTTTAATCTAATATGATATGTCATCTTCACTTATCGACAATATAATCTCTCAAAGACAGCTCAGCCGACGTCGTCAACAAACGACAAGTTTTATCGTACAGGCACGACAATCGTTAGCTACAGAATAACAAATATCGTTCCGTGACGATTATCGTTTGCTAGAATGTCGTTAAGCGTTATTGGCGATTCATAATAAACGATACGCCCTCTTCCGGATATTCAAGTAACCAATGGTAAGTACATTGAATGTTTGTTTACATTCAAGCTTTTATACATTTAATCGAAAGTTTAGTAGTCATTGTGATATTTTTCGAGTTTGAATTCTTTAGTAGAGTATTTTAAATCATTATTGCTTGGTTTCATGAAAGTTTCCTGCATTTCACAGAAAATGATGATTTCAATCATTGTATAATTTAAAGATATTCTCTCAACTTCGAGATTTAATTCAGTTGCATTTTATTCCCAGAAGTGGGGTTACAGAAGGAATTTTAAAAAATGAAATCTTCATTATTCCCAAGAAACAATTGACGTATATGTTTATAACAGGGAACATTAAAAAATAAACCATAATGTATTACATTACATTACATTCAAAATGTAGTAGGTATAGGTATAATAATTATTCTAGTAATTCTCAGTTTGAGCTGATCATTGTTTGAGTAAATGAATGATTAAAATAATTGATATGTCATATTATCTCTATATGGATGACATGACAAAATTCAGAGGAATAAATATTTTTTAAGTTCTTTCCTGAATTTTTTGGTACTGATATTTTTTTTCAAGTCTTGTTGGCAATTCATTGTAAAGTAATAATCCTTGTGTAGTATCTCTTGCCAAATTCACATTTGATTTTAATGAGGGAAAACATGTCTGTTTGTCTGATTGAATGTGAACGTATATTAGCATTAATTTTAAAATTCAAATTGGAATGTTCATAATGGTTCATATTTGTGTTTGACTGAATGAATGAATGTTAATTTTTTAAATTTATATATTGATTGAAGATCTGATATTTCATTTGATTTATAAAGGTTTCTTGTTGGTTCCAAATAATCCTTTACCTTGAATTGCCCCACCTAAGAGTACCTACCCGAAAATGTCGCTGCGTTCGTCGTAGTGCTTGCCCTTGAGCATCTCGGGCGACATCCAGTAGGCCGATCCGACAATGGGCAGTTTCGTTCTCTCCTTTTCTTTCGGATCGGGAATGTCCGTCGACAGGCCAAAGTCGGCTACGATGGCGCGTATTCTGCCGTTGTCCAGCGGTTTGATCAGGATATTCTGAAATTTAGTCATTTATGGTAGAGTTGGCCCATCGATGAACGCCACAGGGAGTACTTTTACCTCAAGGGTCTTTGACTCTGAGGTTACCTCATTCAGGGGAATTATGGCGACTGTAGAACATATGAAATATAGGACATTTTAAATGAAAACTCAGTTACTAGGCGAGTCTGTTATGGTATCTGGGGGTTTTCGAGGTCGGAGATTATGATTCTTCGTCAAAATTGGTGAATTCAAGATGGCGGATCCAATATGGTGGACGAGTTTTGTAATTACAAAACGAATGTATTCAAAATTTGTTTCTGGGGGTTTTCGGGATCGGAGATTACGATTCTTTCATCAAAATTTGGAATTTCAAGATGGCGGGTCCAATATGAAAGACAAGTTTTGTAATTGTTTTTATCGCTTGGTGCGCACGAAAGGGAATCCCTATAATGTTCGAAGATCATCGTGGGTACCTAGAGAGTATAGGGAGAGGAGATAGGTGTTGGATTTTTTTTGAAATTTTGGACATTATAAGTTCTTGGAAATACTTCCTTAGGGTTTTCGGGATCGGAGATTATGATTCTTTCGTCAAAATTTGAAAATTTAAGATGGCGTATTCAATTATGGCGAACGAGTTATGTAATTAAGATCCGATTCTATACAAAATTGGCATCAGGGCGTCTTCGCGGTCGGAGATTATGATTCTTTCGTCAAAATTTGAAAATTCGAGATGGCGGATCCAATATGGAGAACGAGTTTTGTTATTATGATCCGATTCTCCTCAACACTCACAATGGACAAAATATGCACTACCTACCTTTTTATTCTTGGCGTATTCAGTTCAGTGATGTTTTATCACAGTTACTACTCAAAGTCAAATAACATTATTCAATCGACAAGTTTATTATTGCATAAAAAGCAGTTTATTCTTCATGCGTCCTGATTCCCTTATGTATGAGAGATTGAAATGACAGGAACGAGATTATTTTCTAGGGTTAGGATAACAAATGGATAACTTAGTTCGGAATAGAGGTCACTAGCTTAATGAAAATGTGGTCAATAGGGCGATTTCCGCAATTTTTTTTTAATGAACAGATAATATACCTACTAATTATGTGTTCTTTTAGAATGACAATGCTCGAGGCTTTAATAAGGTTGAAGTGTGATTTTGATGAGTATAGTCTAGATTTTATATATATGTATATGTCAGTGCTAACGGGGAAACATAGAGAAACCTCAATTCACTTTTGAATGAGTCAATCTTTTTTTTTTTTCGTTTTGTTGAATTCCTGAATACTTCACGCGAAGTGACATCATATCAACATTTTTTATTTTTGTCATCTCTTGGAGCGCACGGAGGGTAATTCCTATGACGTATTTGTCATCTTAACAGGGTACAGACAGATCCTCGCCTCCTCTCACTCCAAAGTGTTTGTGAAACAGTTATATAGTTCCATTCTTGTTCAATTTTGGGGAAAAATACTTGATTGCTGGCATTTGTTGATTTTTAGGTTATACCGGGTGACACAGGGTATCGGGCCACCCCTGTAACTTCTGCTTTCGTCGTCGGATTTTTCTGAAATTCGGTACAGTTATATAAGCAATCATTTCAGATTTGATCACATTACAATCCAATATGGCGGACTTCCGGTATTTCTGGAAATGCCAGCAACTTTGTTTTTTCAAATGGAACACCCTGTATATTTTTACATATTCAAGTTCAACAGGTCGAAACAAGTGCAATCTTTATTTCAAATGCCATTTTTTCGAAAAAAATTAAATTAAAATTGTTTTTTCATTTCACGTCGTGGATAAATGAGATGTGGTCAAGACTATTCACAATGAGTCACACATAACAGAAGAACATAATTTTTTCTGAAAACTTATTTTTTGTGTCACTTATCCAGGAATCAATTCAGCCACATCACTTTCTGATCAAAAATTATTTTTTTTCAAATGGAACCCATATGGGCCACCTACCCGTCTCTCTAGAACATACATTAAGGAACAAAATGACATATCATTTTTGTTTTTCGGTGCAGTAACAAATTGTATACATTCAAAAATCAACAACTAGTTTATGAATTTCCTTGCAGTTAAAATAATCTTCCAACTAGGTAGGCTGTGGAATGAATGACATTTGACATCAAGATTGCACTTGTTTTGACCTGTTGAACTTGAATATGTAAAAATATACAGAGTGTTCCATTTGAAAAAACAAAATTTCTGGCATTTCCAGAAAAACCGGAAGTCCGCCATATTGGATTGTAATGTGATCAAATCCGAAATAGTTGCTTATATAACTGTACCGAATTTCAGAAAAATCCGTTGACGAATGCAGAAGTTACAGGGGTGGCCCGATAACCTGTGTCACCCGGTATATTGGTTGGCGTATCATAGGTAATTTCCACATGGAATTCCTGATGTAACTCTACATATTTTATCCAAATGATGATCAATAATAATTTTAGAAATTTAGATTTTTTAACTCCAGCATAATCTTTGTGAGGCAGTGAGCATAAATTCTCCTGAAAGTTCAATGTTTTACCGAATGAGACTGTTCTTAGGCTGTACCTACTAATAAATAAGTGAATTTTGATTTCACACTATGCATTATGGTTGAAAAATGGTGAGAACTTTGATGTAGGTATTTAAACTAATGTGCTTATATGTCATGTGTGCTGTATATTTATATAATATTCATGTTGGGTTTCATTTCTGCAGTTTTTTAGGAACACTCAATATTTTCAGAATGCAGGTATAATTTTGTTAAATGGTAGGGCATATGCCTCTTCTTTCAATCCTCCATTTTAATCAAAACTGTTTCTACCAAAATGCATTCAAAAACTTGTGGAGTGGATAATTAGGCACAATGAGAATGTATAATATGGGATTTCGTATTAGTTTCACCTCGTATATTTTGCTGATGTATTTACCGATTTTTCCAATTGGGTCTCTTCACTTTCCATATTCCAAGTTCATTTGCATTTGTTGGATATCTGACAAATTCAAATTTGCCATCCAACTAATTAGTACAGCCAAACGCAGCACATTTTTCCATCCTTCCAAAACATTTGGATAATGTCATATTGAGATTAAGTACTAATTAAAATTTTGTAAGATTTCTTTTAACGCCTATGAATTTGACGTTAAAGCAATGTGATGTCAGGGACCTCAATTCACAGAACCAAAGTCACTAGATCATTAAAAGAGAAAGGAGCTATGATCTGTCCTTACCCTGTTAAGATGACAATTACGTCAATTTACATCAAAGGACCCTAACATATTCCTACTTCAATAAACACTAATAATCTTGATCTCTCTAGTGCTGAAACGAACGTCTAACTAAGGATCATCGTGAAAAGGCCTATGTATTGTTGATGAGTATCTAGATTAATCTAGATAATAGGTGCGTTCGGTTTAACAAAATCGGAGCCGAGCGAGCAGATGCAGATTTGGTGTCACGTGATCACCTAGCAGATAGAGCTAAATATATTTAAGGAACGCTCAATGAGGTAGTAGATTGCGAGCGCCAGCTGTCAGAAGTAACAGAAAACAGAAACAATTTACTTAACCTTATTACTTTCAAAAACACGTCAGGGCAACAAAGTTCTTTTGAATGTTTGTAGTTTATATTTTGAAAATTACTAGGGAAGGAATTATTCTGTCTCATATGATCGGTCATTAACTGTGGCTCCATGGCAGTTGTGATCGCATATATAACAGATATATAATTAATATTCTACCTACAGCAAATTCGTCGGTCATTCTGGCGATTCTGGGCAAGGAGGATTCTACAAAATTCAGTTTCGTGTTTCGTTTCCAATTGATCGAGTCTTTAATTTTTCGACACAAAAGAGATATATAATTTCAATAACATGTTGTTGACATTGATTTGTTGACAACTGACAACCGAATAACCGATCAAATCTGAATGATCTGCTCCTCAAGGCGGAGCAAACAGATTACATCTTTCAGCTCGCTCTGACAATTAACGAACACGGACCAGATTAGACAGAGAAAGAAGATCTGATTTATCGAACGCTTTCCGAGCTAACAGATGGAATCGAGCTAACAGACATGTTATAACTGAACTCACCTATTAAATCATTACGAGATATATTCGGCATATCATAAATATAACTACCTTGCTGGTCAGGTCCCTGTGTATCACCCCCTTCGAATGCAAGTACTCCATCCCCCTGGCCACGTCCCTGGCCACTCCCACCCTGGTCTCCTGAGCCACCTCCACCGCCCTATCCTGGATCAGCTGATACAGCGACCCGCCGTCGATGTGCTCGGTAAGGGCGTGCAGCTGCCCCTGATGCACGCAAACGCCCTTGAGCCGAAGGATGTTGGGGTGCGACAGTCGGTTCATCAGCTCGATCTCCTTGAGCATGTTCCGTCTGTTCGAGTGGCGGGTATTCATCTTGAGCACCATCACTTGACCGGTGGACTGGTCCGTCACCTAAGTGATATTAATATATTGTAATAATGAGAATAATAATAATTATTTCTTCATTTCTTGAAGAATAGGCGGAATTCAGTCACTTATGTATACCTTTTTCCAAGAAAGAAGGCAACTGCTCTTCCATTCAACCCAAAACGGTAACATAGGTTAACATTCATCATAGTATATAATATTCATTAAAAACGTCAGAATGAATCATTTCATGTGGAACATCTATGGTAAAGAATGCGCGAAATGTATATTGTTAACGACCAAGTTCGAACCAGCCAGTAAATTGATGGAACGACTAAGAATGCCTTATCACAAGCCGGCGATTCATCAGTTTCATCATCAGAACGTCAGAATGCGCTTTGGCTGAAGGTTGAAACGGTCAGTTATTCTTTAGCATCAATACGAGTCTGTCGTCGATGTTTTCACATTCAGTATATTAGTAAATTCGAACCATGAGGGTTTGATGAACATTAGGTTAATCCTCGGGTTATTCAGGTCATTGGAACTATAAATACCGACCAGGGAAATCTCATAAGAAACGTACAAATCTGATAAAATCCTAGACTAAACTACTATTCAGGAACTCGCTTCAATACTGTGTGAAAAATGAGCCAACATTGTACAAAGAGAGCAATATATCTGTATCTCTCAGAGAGACCAAGAGAGTTATATTTTGAAATCTTATAGCTGCAATGACTCATCTTCACTGAAGGAAAAACGAATATGTGGATTTTGTGAGTCAATAATAAGAACACTGAGGACTGAGGCAGTTAACGATACAGCGACACGCCGTCGATGTGCTAGGTAAGGGCGTACAGCTGTCCCTGATAGACACAAACGCCCTTGAGCCGAAGGATGTTGGGGTGCGACAGTCGGTTCATCAGCTCGATCTCCTTGAGCATGTTCCGTCTGTTCGAATGGCGGGTATTCATCTTGAGTACCATCACTTGACCGGTGGACTGATCCGTCACCTAATTGGTATTAATATATTGTAATAATGAGAATAATAACAATAATAATTATGTCGTCATTCCTTGAAGAATAGGCGAAATTCAGTCAAGTCTGTATGCATCTTTCCAAGGAAAAAGGCAACTGCTCTTCCATTCAACCCAAGAAAATGGTAACATACGTTTACATTCATCAAAGTATATAATATTCATTGAAAACGTTAGAGTGAATCATTTTATGTGGAACATCTATGGTATAGACTGCGCGAAATGAATATTGTTAACAACCAAGTACGAACCACCCTGTGAATTAATGGAACGACTAAGAATGCCTTATCGCAAGCCGGCGATTCATCGGTTTCATCATCAGAACATCAGAATGCGCTTTGGCTGAAGTTTGAAGCGGTCAGTTATTCTTTAGCATCAATACGAGTCTGTCGTCGATGTTTTCACATTCAGTATATTAGTAAATTCGAACCATGAGGGTTTTATGAACATTAGGTTAATCCTCGGGTTATTCAGATCATTGGAAGACATTGAACTATAAAAACCGACCAGGGAAACTTACAAATCTGATAAAATCCTAGACTATACTACTATTCAGGAACTCACTTCAATACTGTGTGAAAAATGAGCCAACATTGAACAAAGAGGGCAATTTATCTGTATCTCTCGCAGAGACCAAGAGCGTTATATTTTGAAATCCTATAGCTGCAATGACTCATCTTCACTGAAGGAACAAGTGGATCTTGTGAGTCAATAATAAGAACACTGAGGACTGAGGCAGTTAACGATACAGCGACACGCCGTCGATGTGCTAGGTAAGGGCGTACAGCTGCCCCTGATAGACACAAATGCCCTTGATCCTCAGGATGTTGGGGTGCGACAGTCGGTTCATCAGCTCGATCTCCTTGAGCATGTTCCGTCTGTTCGAGTGGCGGGTGTTCATCTTGAGCACCATCACTTGACCGGTGGACTGGTCCGTCACCTAAGTGATATTAATATATTGTAATCATGAGAATAATAATAATAATTCGGAATTCAGTCAATTATGTATACCTTTTTCCAAGGAAGAAGGCAACTGCTCTTCCATTCAACCCAAGAAAACGGTAACATAGGTTTACATTCATCAAAGTATATAATATTCATTGAAAACGTCAGAGTGAATCATTTTATCTGGAACATCTATGGTATAGAATGCGGGAAATCAATATTGTTAACGACGAAGTTCGAACCGCCCTGTAAATGAATGAAACGTCTAAGAATGCCTTATCGCAAGCCGGCGATTCATCGGTTTCATCATCAGAACACCAGAATGCGCTTTGGCTGAAGGTTGAAGCGGTCAGTTCATAGATAAACTACACTCTCCTCGCCATCAGCGCCTCTGGTGTTTGGTGGCGCAACTATTTCGAATAGCGGGAATTTTGAATAATTCATGATATTTTCATATATTTGACATAAAGAGAAGCTTTCGTGAATAGTGAGAGATGAAATATCATAAGCACTTTATGCTTTCATCTTTTCCGACAATTCACCGACACTAAAACGAAAATGGTCGGTAAATGAGAGCAAGTTACCTAAATGCATACTTTTTTAATTAGGTCATACATAAACACCTTTAATGATCACAATGAAATATAACTTAACAATTATCACAGGATCTTCGAACACTTTATCCTCTCTAAAAACCTGAGATTGTCTCTCCTAAAATTTGGAAAACGATGTCCGGAGAGAAAATATCAATCTCACGTCCTGGCACTGCACACTAGTCCAGTCTCATCATAAACTTCACTATTGTTCGAATCAAAAGTAAACTATTGTTCGATCGAGAATAAAGCATTTGAAACGAAAAGAAAAACACACTTCTAGACGGGAAAAAATTACAACATTCACAACAAAGAAATGTCAATGGTCATTCGTCAAACAAATAAAACGCCATTTTGAAATCAATGCCTGCGCCTGCGCACTATCACAGATCACGGATCATTATGTCAAATGGCCACCTATTGTTTGGTGGCTAAACTAGAAAATGGAACAAGGTCGTTCTATTGAAGTTGGAGGTCTATAGATTGTAGTATTTGTAGTTTGTTTATGGGTCAGTTATTCTTTAGCATCAATACGAGTCTGTCGTCGATGTTTTAGTTCATATACGGTCATCGTTGTACCAAATATTCTGAGTGAATAAATGTGTTTGAGTGTAGGGAATATGTCTATCTACGATTCATCGAGTTATATTGTAACTACTCACGAATAGAACATTCAGTATATTAGTAAATTTGAACCATGAGGGTTTTATGAATAATAATGCTCGGGTTATTCAGATCATTGGAAGACATTGAACTATGAATAGCGACCAGGGAAATCTCATAAGAAACATACAAATCTGATAAAATCCTAGACTATACTACTATTCAAGAACTCGCTTCAATACTGTGTGAAAAATGAGCCAACATTGAACAAAGAGAGCAATATATCTGTATCTCTCAGAGAGACCAAGAGCGTTATATTTTGAAATCCTATAGTTGCAATGACTCATCTTCACAATAATAAGAACACTGAGGACTGAGGCAGTTAACGATACAGCGACACGCCGTCGATGTGCTAGGTAAGGGCGTACAGCTGCCCCTGATAGACACAAACGCCCTTGAGCCATAGGATGCTGGGGTGCCACAGCCGGTTCATTATCTCGATTTTCCATGTTGCGTCTGTTCGAGTGGCGGGTGTTCATCTTGAAGACCATCACTTGACCGGTGGACTGGTCCGTCACCTAAGTGAAATCATTAATTGTCACGAGTATAACATTCGGTATAATTTTTTCTTTTTTTTTTTTTCATTTTATTCCGCATCTGTTGGAGCAACTTTCGCAGCTTGATCAGCTTTTTTGTTCCCATCAATGCCAATATGCGAGGAAATCCATACCAGTTCGATCGATTTCTTTTGGATGCTCAAGTGATACAGTTCTGTACTTATTGGTTTGAGAATAAAATGGGTAGGGTGAGGTTGTTGTATTCCTTCTGCTTCTGCTATGGCGTGCGCCTCTCCACTGTAAATAGTGTACGAAGGAGGGAGTCAGAAGCTACGAAAAATTCGGTATTTTAGAAAGTTCAAACCACAGTATGGACCCTTACCGTAAGGGTCTATACTGTGGTTCGAACCATGGGGGTTTTATGAACATTAGGCGAATCAGATCATCCGATGACATTGGAAATTGGACTATGCATACTGATCAAGGAACTCTCATGAGAAAAGTGCAAGTCTGATGGAACCATAGACCATTCAGGATCTGGCTTTGCTAAAATGGACTGCTCATCCCCCATATTATTTATGTGTGGAATATACGCTAACATTGAACGAAGAGGGCAATATAATCTGTATCTCTCAGAGAGGCCCAGAGCGTTTTCTCTCTTGTAGCGCACGAAAGGAAATTCCTATGATGTTCGAAGAACATCGTGCGTACCTAGGGAGGATAGAGAGAGGAGATAGGTGTTGGATTTTCTTTTGAACTTTTGGAGGTTATAAGTTCTTGGGAATATTTTCATTGGCAGATAATTACAAAGCTCAGCCTTTCTATACTTAGACGAATGAGTTTTGGTAAAGCGTTACTGCACATGTCAGAATTTTCCAGTTGAATAAGGCGGAAATTTTGAAATCCAATAGCTCAACTACTACCACTACGAAATAAGATAAAGAATCATTTCCAAGACCGTTGAATAAGTCACACCAAGGAGAAGCATCGCTCAGATATGGTAAAACACCACAGTGCCATGGAAATGTTTTCATAAAAAAATATTTTTTAAAAAATGTACATTCTCAAAAAACACCCTGTCACTCTGCAACGAAGATAGATATCAATATGCCCTTTTCACTATTGAGTTTATCATGAGAAGTATTGCCCATAATTAGAGACCAGGACTTTTCCCTTTAAAAGTGTTCAATTTGGCCCACCGTGTATAATTGACATTTCTTTGAAATAAAACAACTGGCAACACAGGAAGAGGGTCTATGACGTCAGTACTGGCTAGAAGAGGTTATGGTGTTGCCAAGGGTGTAGCCAAACAC